TTATATTCTGTTCTATTCTGTTTAGTTCTATTCTGTTCTATTCGATTCTATACATTTCTGCTTTATTCTATTCTGTTCTATTTTGCTCTATTCTATTCAATACATTTCTATTCTAATCGTTTCTATTCTAGCCATGGAAATTAGATGTTTCTGCTTAAATTAAGGAAAGTGATTAATGTTCCCACCATCAACAGACGTCCTGTTTGTGCTCTGAGATACTGTACATGCTGTTGATGATGATGATGATGATGATGATGAAGATAAAAATAATGATGATGATGATGATGATGATGATGATGATGATGATGATGATGATGATGATGATAAAAATAATAATGATGATGATGATGAAGAAGATAAAAATAATGGTGATGATGATGAAGAAGATAAAAATAATAATGGTGATGATGATGAGGAGGAACCTCTGTCTCTGTGCTCAGATGAAGATCTTCCTGGGAGGTGTCGTGGACAATGACTTCCTCCATGGAACAGCCGAGGAGCTCCTCAGCAAGAAGGAGGTGCTGCAGGTTCCTGTGATGATGGGGATCACCAACCATGAGTTTGGCTGGATCCTACCACAGGTTGGTTCAGGACTCAGGGACAGACCTGTCCAGGGGTCCACAGCTCATCAACCACAGGTGCATGTCAGTAAGGTTATTTCCTGTCTGCTCTCAGAGCTTCCTGCCACCCGGCTGGGAGAATGGGATGAACCAGGACCTGATTCTGACCATGGTGAACATGTTTAATCCCTCAGGGGTGAGTCCAGCATTGGTCTGGTGGGTCAGAACCACCAGACCGATCCTCAGTGTGAGGTCACTGACAGAGGGTTCATTAAAGCTATGGTTGGAGTTCAGATGTTTTTATGACTCCGGATAGAATAGAATAGAATAGAATAGAATAAAACAAAACAGAGTATAGTAGAATAGAATAGAAAAAATAGAATAAACTAAATAGAATAGAATAGAATAGAATAGAATAGAATAGAATAGAATAGAATAGAATAGAATAGAATAGAATAGGACGATCAGATGCAGAAACACAGACTGTTTGTCCTCCAGGTGTCTTCAGCCAACCGTCTGATCACAGAGGAGTACCTGAAGGAGGCTCAGAGTCCAGAGGAGGTCAGGGACCGCTTCCTGGAGGTCATGGGAGACCTGCTGATGACGCTGCCTGTGCTGAAGGTGGCCAAGTACCACGCAGGTCACTACTGGTTTCCTGTTTCCTGGGTTCATCCTGTGGGACAAAGACAAACTGACTCCCTCACCTCCTCCTCCTCCTCCTCCTCCTCCAGAGGCTGGCGCTCCGGTCTTCATGTACGAGTTTGTGTACAGAGCAGCCGTGTACCAGAACCACAGGCCCAGCTTCGTGAAGGCGGATCACGGGGATGATGTTGTCTTCATGTTCGGTGGATGTTTCTTCAACGGACATGTTAAATTAATCGGTTTGTGTCTGGAGATAAAGATCCAACTGCCTGACATCAAGCAGCAAACAAACACTACCAGATAAGGATTCTTGTACACCACCACCATTCAAACATCTGTCTACTTCCTGTTCTGTCGTCAGGTAACATCTCCAAACAGGACGAACAGTTCTGTCGGACCATGATGTCCTACTGGGCCAGCTTTGTCCGGACCGGGTGAGTTCAAACTGTCAATAATATATTTAAACAGAACAAACAGATCCAGGTGTTTGTTTCCCTGACTCAAGCTGCAGATGTTCAGTTTGGTGTTTGACCTCTGACCTCTGTCTTCATGAAGTTCAACTGATTGATGGAATTTCTACTCCTGACTTCTTGTTTCATCTTCTTTTCTCCACCAGCTGATGTTTGTTTACCTTCAGACTCCAGTCTGATTAAATCATGTGACTCAGGTTTCACTGTGGGTCCATTCAGACAAGTGTTTTGTTTACATTGAGTGCAGGCCCACATTTCAGATTTACACACAAATATCTGTAAAACCCCTGACATGTGTGGATAAATGTTTAATGTTTGAGTTTATAGTTCACTCTGAGGATCTCTGAAGACAGAACCATGACTGCTTGCCTGTCTGCAGGTCTCCTAATGGACCGGGTCTGGTCAGCTGGCCTCAGTACAACCAGAATCAGCAGGACTACATGGAGCTGGGTCTGACTCCGGTTGTGAAGCAGAAACTGAAGATGGACCGGGTCCAGTTTTCAACCGTCACCCTCCCTCAGAAGCTGGAACAGCTGGCAGCAGCTGCAGCTAAAGACACAAACTGATGTCTTTGACTTTAGTTTGTAGGATCTAACCTCACCGCCTGAATGTTCAACTTTGGTTTTTGTAACATAGATGCAAATAAAGGAAACCTTTCTGTTCAAAATGATAAATAATAATTCAGCTTTCCTATTTTCAGCTCATTGCACACATAATAATAA